ATGGAATGGGGGACCCGGCCGCGGGATGAGTATGCGGAACCGGGTGGCATTCTGGTGGCACTACCCCTAAATGGAGTATAAATAGTAAAAATAGAGAACTTATTCCCTGAAGACAGTTTACACTCTGATGCAAAGTATGAACACATCTCAAAAAGATAAAATTTGTGTGCGCCCCATGAACAGTGGTCCATTTCAGCCCAACCCGAAGTCATGTTTTTCAAACCCGCCTTAAACCTTTCTGCGATGCCCAACATCAAGGAAATAAGGTGGAGATTCACGCACCTATCAGCATATCGCAAAGTGTTGATTGTGTGTTCACAGGACGACATACCAGGACTGATCATTGCTATCTGAAACAGGATCAAACATAGCTAATTCAAAAAAAAATGAAGCACAAGATTCACTCACCATACAAGTGCGTGCTTTCTCCCCGATGAAGGAATCGCGTAGCACCAAGGTGAGCTTTGATGTACGGAATGGAACGTGATGGCTATTCTTGGCCATGGCGCGAATACATTCCTGCAACAGAATACTTTTCACGATGATAACGCCATCAACAGATAAGTGAAGAAATGCCCCCAAAAGGACTAACATTTCGAGGACGTTTTTGAAGCTGTTTTGTTATGATAACTGCTGTTTAACGCCGCAGTACGCGTTCCGAATGTTATCACAAGAATGCTGAGTTGTGGGCAAAAGTCGTGCCCCAGGCGGGAGTCGAACCCGCACCTCACGCTTTCCGGGCGAGTGCGCTATCCGTTACGCCACCAGGGCCGCTTTTACCCTCTCAGCTTAACGGCTTATGCCGTAGCCTACGGATAGCGCACTCGCCCGGAAAGCGTGAGGTGCGGGTTCGACTCCCGCCTGGGGCACGACTTTTGCCCACAACTCAGCATTCTTGTGATAACATTCGGAACGCGTAAAAACAGCAGTTATCATAACAAAACAGCTTCAAAAACTTGTAAAGCCTTGGCTGACCGGCTCACCAAGTTAAACGTGTGAGTGCTGTAAGGCTACGGCATAAAAGCCGTTAAGCTGAGAGGGTAAAAGCGGCCCTGGTGGCGTAATAGCGCACTCGCCCGGAAAGCGTGAGGTGCGGGTTCGACTCCCGCCTGGGGCACGACTTTTGCCCACAACTCAGCATTCTTGTGATAACATCGGAGGACATTTGTTCCCGAAAACTATTCGATTGAGTTTTACAGTTATGCGTCTTCGTCTGCACAGATAGGAGTGAGACCACTCAGCGGATTTATACCGTAATGATATTGCTTGCTGAACCTAAGACCACCTTCATACTTTGCGACTACCAATCGCGCGATTCGCAAATTGCTGAAATGCGACTAAGTGTGCTCTACTTCTAATCCTTGGACAGCTGCAACCGCCTATCCGAACATACTCAGGATGGAACCTCTTCTAACCGTTGCAGCCGACTGACGATTGGCGCGAAGTGCGGGCGATCGCAATTGCGCGATCACTCGAATCGCTATGAACGTGGCTCACGAGCTGATAATGATTACCGTGGGGCATCTACGAATGCATCAGATAAACAAATAAGTGTTGAAATAGAGTCACGCATAAAGGGTTAGCATTAGGACGCCAACTTAGGTGAGCAGTGCCAAGCGGCGGCGCAATGATAGCTCTTTCTCTGCCCAAGGTTCGGATGAAATAAAAAAGAGCGATGAAGAAATGAAGAGCTTCGCACGCGTTATGGTCTCACAGTTGCGCCGCTGCATGACCCCGCTCATCTACGTTAACACCGCCATCACGTACCTTCAGAGCTAGCAGGGACTTGTTGATTTCAGCTCCTTCATGTCGTGTTTGCCTATCAGAGTTACCGGTATCCTGACCACGTTCATTACCCGCTAAGTCAATCAAGGAAAACTTTCCCCACAATTTCTTGTCTCTGAAAATATGGTCACTTAGGTAAGCGTATTAAGAACAAATAAAAAAAACCTACTTTCGGAGCATAATTTGGAAAACTGCATGCGATCTGCTTGAATTCGAATTTGCAGATGTGGCACCAGCAGTGCGCATATCGGTTCCTTGTCGAATGAGATCCAGAACCTTGAGATCACAACTTATTATTAACAATTACTGGTATCCTGCCCACGTCCAGCTCCCCTCTATGCCGCGGGTAGAGATCATGGACAATGTCTAAACAAAAATAGCCATATGTGTCTTCGATGTCACAGTCGACATGAAA